CAAAAGAGGAACAATAGGGGGTCCCCAGTTGCACGCAAATACACACTTGCGTGTGTGTGTGAAACAGTTCCACTAGGCTACATTGTAGCTCGCCTAGTCATTAGCTTCCATATCTCACCGCTGTTTGTGGTCACCACTTCCATGGTCGTGGTTCCCTCTACAGTCAGCCACAGTTACGCAGCACGGTCTTATGGTCTGGATCCAAAGAATCCACTACGCCAGTCCAGAAAGGAAAGATTTGACAAGTGCTTTTAAAATTGACAGATTACACGCATTCTCCAAATTAGAATGAGCCACAATCCGATTCTTTTCTCTCTAAAATTCTTTGGCCGCTGTTTCAGAATGCACATTGTGAACGGCACTTTCAGTGAGCGTGATCTGTACCGTTTGGCCTTCGACGATGACCAGTTTATGCCCTCCCTCCTCCCGTTCTATCGCATCCAGATCCACGACTGCGATCACGTGAGTAGACAGGGGTGCACTCTTCCCGTTCTCAAATTGTTTCTACGAGGTCGTTTTCGAATTCTATGTTTTTTCAACAAAAAAATTGTCAAATTGTTTCTACGAGGTTGTTTTCAAATTCTATGTTTTTTCAACAAAAAAAATTGTCTCTGTAATTTTTAGCAATGCATTCACTGAGGGGCATTGAAAATTTAACTCTTGCCAACGTTTGAGCCAGCGAGTATACCAGATAGCATTCAACTTGAACTTCCAACGTACAGAGTGACGTAAAATGACGGGCAAAGGCATTTGAGGAAGCGTCTCACGTCTGTGGAGGTGCTTGCATTTTCAAATCTGTGTGTTTGCATTGGAGATTTCATGTACCCAGAATGTTGAGAGATTGCCGAAATATGCATTTCCGTGCACATCTTTGTAAATTGAACACTGACCGTCAAAAAGCCTGTAATTGAAGAATCTCTATATTGATCGAACACATCTATGGTTCTGTTTGATTTATTTATTTTATTTGGTTCTTGTATTCTTTCAGCAGCTGTGTGTGAATGATATACCAGTACAGTTGTCGGACATCCCTGCAACAAATGGACTTATCCACATCCTCGGAGAGGTACGTTCCGCTGATAGGAAAGTTTCTTAATGCCGTAAAGAGGCACGGGCATGGAATGGATAAACCATTTTGCATTATTTTTGGATGGCTTTGAGGGAAAAAACATCGTGAAGAAGGAGATATTTTGGAATTGCAAATGGCATATAAAGCAATGATCATATTGACTGGTTGTGCAGGCAGCAGTAATCAACTATTGCCCGGAGGACTCCAGGGGGATAGTCGGTTGACCGTGAATGACAAGTGTGCCACTTGCAGACACTTGTTACTGTCATGAAGGGAGGGCACCAGCCCTATCACTTTGTCCATTTATGAGAGTCCAGTGTTGTTTGTGTGACCTGCAGCTGAAGCTGGATAAATGGTCACCACAAGGGGGCCTACAATTTGTAGATTCTCAGTTTGAGTGCGGTATCATAACAGTGCAAGTTTGTGTTAGTGGTGTAATTTTTTTTTCCAGTCATGAAAGCTCAGAATTTGACAAACGGTTATGATACCTTTGTGTGGAAAGGAATGGTTTGTATGGATTAAAAAAGTAGGGCAGTTGTCGCAGAAAAGTACCCATCTCACCCTCTGCCTTCAGAGACAAAATCTGGACATGTCTGTGGTTGTGTCATGATACGGCTTCATTGTTAACCCAACCCCATCCTGTTCCAGCCCTTTGCAGAGTTCCACCCCTCTGAGGGCACTCTCTGTTTAAGTGCTCACATTGCTATGCTTGTCATGTTCCATCAATGGCAGGTCTTGTGGCTGCAAGACGGCCCTGATCAGGATCACTTTTCACCCTCGGGGGCCTTCAGTCCTTCCGCCACGCTCTCCTTTACTCAGCTGATCGACCAGAATGAGGCCAACTCAACGTTCCTGGCTCTCCTGGAGGTGAGAGCCATGCACCCAATTTTTCCCTCTGAGATATTTTCAACACCAGTGTTCAGACATTGCACAAGTTCGAGACATTGTATTGAGGTGCTGGTTGTTATCACCTGGTCAGAGAGATTCCCAAACACATCTTGGCTCCCTAGGGAGTACGCAGCTTGATGCTGCCACGTTAGGCTTAGCCAGCTCATCAAACGCCGCTACAGTCTCTGCCCTCACAGGTGTCCATTTATATACTTCCGGTTGGCGAGAGGCAAGTGACTGAGGAGTACCAACCAAACCCTATCGGCTAGGTTACCCCCCCCCACACACATACAACATGATTCTGTCTTAATGGAGAAACGACAGCCCACGCAGTTTGCAAGAGAATTTCATTCGACTGAGAACTATAGTTTACTGTTGCCCGTGCTATCTGATGGAAATGTTATAGTCCATAGTTAGACTGGTCTATATGATTTTTCTGACCAGCCTGCAGATGTTAGTTGCATTACTGGTTAGTAAAGCCTGCTCTCTTGTAACAAGGTTGCAGGGACCAGACTTTCAACGTTGTAAGAACCAGGACTTTGTCATAAAATGTGTGGCAAAACACAACAATTGAAGAAATTGGGATTCGCAGAATTTATCGTTAATAACCGTACTTGGTTAGACACTATTCATTTATATCAAGAGTTGACTGTTGTATGAAAAGATAGGGTCTTTCATATGTCCAGTAGGCTTCTTTTTTAGCAACTCGGACAACACACCTTCCAATTTATCAAATGTTTAATTTCAAATTTCACTTGTCATTTTTCTCAATTTCTTGCTCCTTTCGCCAGCAATTTGGCTTAGTTGACGTTATCAACAATGCAGGGGCATACACTGTTTTCTTCCCCACGAACGAGGCGGTTGCTTCCTTCAATGCCTCCAGAATAGTGAGTCTGCATTGTCAGCTTTACTGTATCTTCGTTTCAGTGAATTTGACACAGAAATGACTTGAGTAAATGTAATGTAAAAGGTCTATGTTCAGCTGGGTCATTATTTTTCATTTGGAGGCTTTATGTATTAGAACAAAAATGGTTCGAAAAACTAGGTTTTCTGGTGTGTTTTATTATCTGGAGTTTTGATAGCCAAGTGGGATTTTTAACATTTCGTGAATTATTCTTTTAAGTTCGTACTGACGACCGTCTATAGTTTAGCAGCAACTTGTAGAAAAAAACACAACTGTGACATCAAAAGAGTAGACCCTGTTGGTTTTCAAAAAAAGCTTTCATTATATTTGCTATGGACGGTGTTATTCTGAGAGTTTGATCAGTCCATGCATTTTATAAGCCAAGCATCTTAGTTTTCATGATCTTTTGTTTAACCTCCAGACTAGAGACATTCTGCAATACCACATAGTTCTCGGTCAGGCCTGGACTGTACCGGACATCTACGACGGGATGCACCTCGACAGCTCTCTGGGCCACAACTACCAACTGCGCCTCGGCAAGACCTCGGGAAACGTGAGCAGATTTGTTTTATAAGAGCATCTGAAGCTTTTAACTTGGCAGTTGACAGCGCGGATGTCCTTGACCGTTTTCTTGCTCTTGGAGCTGGAGACACATGATCACATTTCTCTGACCTGCAAACAAATTGGCTCAGCCAATTTATGTGCTTAGTGTTAATCAGGTTGGAACAAGTCACAAGCAATGCTTATTACATGACGTTTGGGCTGGTAACTTGTATTTGCTAAGCTAATATTTTCCATGCTTAGCAAACACACTATTCATGGGGTGGCCACATTGAAAATGAAAGCAGAGGTTAACCCTCACTTTTTTAAAGTCGAAAGTCGAATTGAAAGCAATAAAATGACACTCCACGACAAATTAGCAATTGTCTACTCTGATGAATAATTTCAACTTCGTGATTAAGCGCACCGTAGTGATTTGGAAATATACTGAAACTGAGGCTTGGAATGCACACAGTCATGAAATAGTCTTGTGCAAATCATAATCAGCAGTTCACAATTTATGAAACAGATCTCAGGAAATAAGATTGTAAATGGCTTCCACTTGAAAAATGTCTGTTCCTTGCAACAACTGCAGCAATTATTTTGACCATTCTCTTCATGTACTCACTTTGTTAAGTGTGCCTATCAATGGCACAGCAAGCGACAGTGTGTCAGCAGCAGCCGTCAAAATTAGATTTATTGCAGTTCAACTCCACATTCGCCTGTGGAAAAAACACAGTAGTCTGCATCAGTTCATCATTGGTGGTTATTGTTTGTCAACAGCTGTCTGTCAACGGCGTCCCCGTGGCCGGTCCCACCTTGATTGCAGCCCAGGGGGCCGTTCACATCGTCCCCGGGGTCCTTTTTCCACTGCCCAACAGATGCGATGTCAATTACACTTCATTAACACAGGTTACAAACAATCATTTATTGATTTTGTATTGAGCAGCAGGACGAAGCCGAATGAGTTATAAACTGTTCTTACTAGAGGTCCTGGGACAAGAGAAGACAATGAAGAAAGTTTCAATTTCAGAGGTGGGAGGAAGACCCCAGAGAAATATTCCAGGGAGACCTAGGGAAATAGGGTAGGGCCTGAGAAGCCAAACCACATGTCAGCCTGGATGGGAATCGAACCCGGGCCAAAGAGGTATAAGGCAATCATATTACGATCTGACTCCCCGAGAAAAAAAAACAAAAACACCTGAGTTCTCAATGCAGAATTATTTCATTTGGATCACAGATTTTATTAATAGTGGACAGTCTAACTGATTTGGATGAGTATTATTTCTAGACAAATTTAAAGATTTTATAGGTTTTTGAATTGCGGGTTTCCTGAAAAGATTTCATTCATCATCAAAGAGGCAAACTTTTCGCTGCTGAATGAAGTTTTGGGGATCATTGTAGGAAATTAAGAATGCCCTGCAGTATGAAAAGATAGGCCAGAATGGTTTTTTGTGAAACGGTGTGGCGTTAATGTTTGTCATTGCTCCTACCGTAGTCGTAGTCGGGTCCATCACAAAGCCCTTCAAGATCAATCACAAGTCATCCATTCTGGATCCAAGTCACAAGCTATTGAAAGGAATTCTGAGAGAAAACATTCCTATGTCATTATTCACCCAGTGAGATATGACCGGTCTTGTGACTAGACTTGTGAAAGGGCTTTTGATGAAAGTCGACTGCATCACCGACTCCAAGATACTGAAGGGATATCACCTTGAGAGATGACATTAAATCTTGAAGAGAGGCATAACATATTTTAATGATAAATTGATGCATTTTGCGTCTCAAGAAGTTTCCAGCTATTAAAGCTTATGCCCGTCTTTAACCTTAGTCTTTCCAGGTGCAGTGAGAGAACAAAATTTATTTGGAAAAGAAATTGAAACAAGGTGCAACTTGTCAAAAGTGGGGGAATTGTCAGATCAACTTTTGTGGTTTTTAAAACATTGTTCTTATGTTGATGTCTCCAGCCGACGAATTGGCTGGGTGCATCTTTGTGTCATGGACTGCTGCAATGTTCAGGCCAAAACGTGTCATCGTATTTTTGTGCGTTTTCAAGGAACTTCATGTTGTTAATGCTAATCCCTTCAAAACTCGTTTCTTTTTTTTCCCCCCCACCAGACTGCTTGCGGTAGCTGCCTTTCCCTCCCACAGTGTCCGCAGGGAGCAACACCATTGGTATGAAACTGGATTCACACTCGTGTGATTTTACGATTCCTATCGTTTCATTTCAGTCTTTTTGTACAGCGCTAAGTCTCTTCTGTTCCTCTTTCAGCCAAATTTTGGGCAGATCCGTTGCCAGTACCAAAGAATGTTTCCAATCTTGGGCTTGGCAACATTCCCCGGTTGCAGAGTGCTGTGTCGCACGATCACATATGTAAGTCATTTCTGCTCATGTCTGTGATAGGCTTTTAGTGACTGTTCACATTTCGCAGTGCTTTCCGTAAGGGTCTTGTGAGTCAGAAGATGTAAGAAGATTGTGGATCAGGTTTTAGCCAAATCAAAAGCCTAACAGCTAGATTTATTGAAATAATGTTGCTTTTGGTGTATGTATTTTACATTTAAACAGGATTTAAGATGGAAAGGTTAAAGGTTTCATTTCTAGTTCAAGTATAATGTAAAATCTGCGTTTATTGTAGCCTAGTTTTTCCATGCACTGCCCATCTAATGTACCTCATGTGAAGGGTAACGCACGGCGAATTCTACTCGTACCAAGAACACAAAGCTTTCATGAAAGAGGCTGAAATTGGCGTGACTAATCTGATTGTTCTAATCTGTTCAGGTCTCAGAATGTTGCAGTGGGTTCTATGGAAGCGAATGCGCAGGTAAGGAGGATGAAATTTATTTGTTGGAAACAAAATTTGAAGCAGAGTACAACTTGTGAAAACTGTCAGATCAACTTTTACAGATTTAAAAAAAAAACACACTTGAACCTGAACCACTTTTTTTCCCCCAGAATGCCCTGGTGGGTGGTCGTCCCCTTGCAGCAACCACGGTACCTGCAGCAACGGTACCACGGGGACTGGTGCCTGCACCTGCTTCCCCAATTACACTGGTACAGCCTGCGAGCTGTGTGAGCCAGGGAAGTACGGACCGCTCTGTGATCAAGGTAACCGACCAAACCATCCAAAGTCTTGGGTTTATGGACTGATCTGGCATCCCGGATTAGAGGTTATGGCATTTCTTCAATCAACAAAGCTCAACGTGTAATGCATTGTTGATTAATTAAAGATGCTCAGTGGATTTCATTTGAGGCTGTGCTGCCACAATGAACTTAAACAGATATCGGTGCCGGGTAAAAAATAAGAATGGATCGTCAAGTTTACTGATGTGATCAGAAATACAATTAAATCTCCAATTCTGATCACATATTTTTGCTTGCAATTTCAGTTTGTGATTGTGTGAATGGTCATTGCCGGGAGGGTATCCGTGGCGACGGGAGATGCATCTGTAACAGTGGCTTCAGTGGTCCAAGGTGTGATTTATGTAAGTCATTTTACTTCCATCAAATGTGTTCATGTATGAGGGTTACGGTTTGCAATTTGATTTTTTTTTTAAGAATGAGGAATATATAAATATGTAATTTTTATTTTGCTCAGTTGCTGAGTCGTCTCCTGGTTGTTTGGCGGAATGTGATCCTAATGCCTAGTAAGTAATAGTGCTTCACTCTTTGCACTTGATCTTGCAGAAGTTTTTTAATATCTTACAAAAGATTGTTATACATTTGTGGAGTTGCTGCAAATCCTGTTTGTAATGGAAAACAGTTTAGTCTTGAGCACATAAAGGTGGACAGAACGGTCTCAGAACTTGCACGGTGTGGACATCTTTTGCACTCAAGGCCTCACAGAGATATTTTGTGGAAATGATGTGAACAGAAATTGGCTTAGCATCGAAACAATTTACTGAGCATTAATATGTTGCCAGCTGGAATTGTCATGGAATGTGTATTGCTTGGTGTATTGCAACTGGTGCTGTGGCTGTGTCTAAATTACTTGGCTGTGGCTTCAACTTACACATGAATCTATGGTAGTGGCCCCAGCCACTTCCCATAGAGTTGTGAGTAATTTCAAGCCACAGCCAAGTGATTCAGATGTTGTGCTGAGTGGGCTTTATTTACATCCTGGCCATTTTGGATCTTGCTCCGGGGGTCTTCTTTATTCACTGAACACTCTGAAGTGGGAAGGAGCCTGATTAGTTTGCTACAGTTGTAGATGCAGCCTTGCTTTGAATTTTTCTTTTTTTATTTGGAAAAGAAAGGCGACTTGACTTTTCATCATAATTTGGAATCACCCAACTGGGTCATCTTCATTTCTACACGGATTAAGTTTTGAGGAAATTTTTTACAGGTGTTGCTTCTCTAATGATTCAAGATGGCTGACTTGTGGATAAGGCCCATTGTTATGAGCGGCCAATTTGCTGAGCAAAGCCTCATGGATTTGGCCCACCTTGCGAGTTTTGATTTGACACAGTCCAGTGATTTATTTGGTCCTTTCATTAATGCATTCAATTTTCATCTACTTCGTGGGTGAGCATTCTGAAGGAAGGCTATGATTGAAAAAAATGAGAATTTTTCTTCTTACAGTTGCCTTGGTCAGCAGTGCATATGTTACGAAGGTTACATAGGAAATGGAACATATTGTAGGGGTGAGTAAGTTGAGGACTTCATGCTTTGGTATTTCCTGTCCTTCGAACCAGTGTCGTGAAATTGAAGTAGAACTAGGTATCTGAGGTATATTCTTTACAGAAGTGAGTGATTCTCAATATGAAGCTGTAATGTCCCCATTACATATCTTTTAATTTAGTCGAGACCATCACAAGACCAGACACACGACCAGACACGACCAGGGACAAGACCAGTCATAAGTAACAGTGTGAACAATGACAATGGAAAGCTTTTGTCGCAGTTCATTTGATCAGCTTGTGACTCGAATTCGGACTGGAGGTCTTGGGCTGGTCTTGTGCAGGTCTTAAGTGGTCTCAACTACAACACCAAACTTCAGGCATGGTTTTTTAAGCCGTGAAATTCTTTTGGAGGCTGTGTAAAATTCTCTATCACTTGGCCTCACAGACAGATGAAACAAACTGAAATGTTTATGATGTGATCCTCTACTTGAATGCTGTACATTTTTCGTCCTTCTCCCTTCCCCTCCGTCAGTCCACTACCCCTGCAGTGAAGATGGAGTGTGCTCAGAGCATGCCACCTGCCATGTCTCCCCCGGCGGCCAGGTCCAATGCGTGTGTTCGCAGGGGTACCAAGGCGATGGTGTGTACTGCCAAGGTGAGATCTGTCACTTTGTCTATGCCCTAAACATCCCAGATCTTTCAAATTCCCGGGCCTTGACATCAGATCACGTTGGCAGTAGCCTACACCGTGTAGCGTTGAAGACTGAACTATTTTCATGGCTAGTTGGTGCAGTACTTCAACAAAGTTTTATACTGACCCCTGCGTGTGTGTGGAGCTGAAATACAGGATTTGGTATGCAACTTAATTTCGATTATACTCCGGAGAATTCTAGCAAATTACGTGATGGCTGGGAGCAGGTTTAGCCTGTAGAGAAAAACGCTGCAAATGCGTCTTGACTGCCAATCTGAACATACCTATCAACCTCCGGAGGTGCCTGTTATCTAAACCAGACGGAGGCATTTTGGGACAGGTTGCACTGAAGGACCTGCTTACACAGTGAAAGACCGCCACCACGCTGTGACTTGGAGATGGATTTGTGTTGTATTATCAAGTTTCTCTCTCTTCCCCCCCCCCCACGTGACAGAGGTCAATCCGTGTCTGGACGGGGACGACGGAGGTTGCCACGAACTCGCCCAGTGCATACACACTGGGCCTGCCATGGTGAGTTAGTATTCTCAACCTCCTGAATCTGTCCACTGTACATGTGGAACCCCCATGCGTACCCGTAGTGTGAGTGATTCACAGTGCTTGCCAGTGGTTATCGCACATGCTGTACGTGGTAACTACAGATAGCTTGGTCTAGGCTTGTGTACGCCGTGGTTGAGGCTGATGTTGGAATCAACTGGCTGTGGCTGGGTGTAATGTGTGTCTGTGGAAAGTGGATGCAGCCACCGGCCAGTGGCTTACATAAGTGGCAATGGTATTGTCAGCCATAGCCGTAACATTCAGATGCAGACTCAGTTACTTTCTGTTAGATGGCAGTACTCTGCCAGTGTGTGGTTTCTGTCTGTAAGTCTACTTTTGAACGACTGTCTTGTGGAATTTGTACTGTTGTTTGTTGATTTTGGTTATCTCGGGGGCAGTTTTATATTCTTAAATGCTTCAAATCACTGAGGCGATTACCATTTAACAAAGTCTGTGATTTTTTGTCATACACAATGCCAGAGCACCTGCCATTGCCAGTTGGGCTACGAGGGCAATGGCCGCACCCGCTGCAGTCCCATCGACCCCTGCCGGGAGAATAACGGGGGCTGCAATGCCCGGGCGCACTGCACCCAGACGGGGCCCGCCCAGCGCAACTGCACGTGTTTCCAGGGGCACATTGGGGACGGGCTAGAGTGCACGGGCAACATAGCTGAGGTGAGCCCACATTGGTCCAGTCGCTGGTTGAAATTTTTGATCAAGTTTGATAAAGAGTTTGGAGTTACAGAAATGCGAAAACTTAGAAACGGACAAGGTTTACAAACATGCTCGGATGATGCTGTTTATAAGAGCATAGCATTTACCAACACGACCACATAACATGCCTACTACTGTCTTTCAATGAATCTTTCAAACTCACAAAGTTTATCCCTTTTTTATGTCAACACAGGAGTTGGCCTTGAACCCCAATGTCAGTAAATTTCTCTCCCTTCTTGAAGAATATGTGAGTATCATTGGCAGCTGGAATTATCAGAATCTCTGTTTTTGACTTGGATGAGCAAAGAGTGCTTCATAATTTGTTCATTTCAGTGTTAGTTTGTTTTTTTAATCTTTAAATACTGTATTTATTAGATCTTTGGCCTTTTTCCACAAAACTAAACTTTCTTCCTGTTCAGTAAGTCCACAGCCAACCAGTCGACTGTAGTTGTTTAATTGAAATGATCCGATATGTTCGGTCGAAGCCAATCAGCTCCTGTCATTCTTTAATTTCATCCCATTGGCAGAGAGACATGTTGAGAGTTCTCGGTTCGGTTGGGCCTCTGACCATCCTGGTACCCTCCAACGAGGCAATTGAAAGCATCAGCCAGGAACAGGTAACCAATTTGTTCAAAAACAGACTGTGGTCTTTCGTTCACAAAGAAATGTTAAAAAAAATTAGCCCCACTTCTTTCTGTTTGAATGTACCAGAGTTATACTGTCCTAAAAGATTGGACAAACGGTCGTCTTGTTTTCCGTAAAAAATGAAACTGCTTTGCTTTGACCATAAATGGAACGACGTGAAATATCAAGTCTTTCCTATCTAATCCCTGGTAAATACGAAAAGGATGAATTGAAATGTTAAGGATTTCCTTTACATGAAAGTCCGTTTCTACTTGTCACATTATTTGAATTTTTTTGGTGGTTAGCGGCTTTCTTGTTTGTCTTATTTGGGTTTGAACACCACAGCTTGACGAGTGGCGAGAAAATAACCAACTGTCCAGGGTCCTCCTGAACCACATGGTGGGATGCACAGCCTTCATCACACCCATGGTCAACGGAACAACGTCACTAACCACACTGTCAGCACAACCCATCCACATCATGTACTCCTCAGTAAGTTTGCTTGTGGAGCCCGCGATTTCATGGTAGAAATTATTCAAATGTTTGCCTGGCGAGACTCACAGAAAGGCTGTGATGTAATAGTTGTTACGAAACTGACCCCATCCACTTTGCAAGTAATTTTTTGCACTGACTAAAATTCTCGGCAGTTGTGCACACTCCCCTAGGTTATCTAACAAATTTCTTGGGCAAGTAAAGCAAGAAATTGAAACGTTGCTGTGACAAAACAAAGATTGATTATGGTCTCACACAGTTTGCGTAAACTAGCCTCCTTTTGTGGTGTGTTGATCATTTTGTTTATACCTTTGGAAAATCGAACACTTCACAGATTGCCTTACGAGTGACATTCTGTATTGGCAGACTCTAAACCCAACAAATTCTCCCCCCATCCCCTGTGGAGTTACATTTCTTATAGAGTTACCTCAGATAAATTGTTCATGCGTCAAATTTCTTGTTGCCAGGCACAGGGAGTAACTGTGAACAGTCAAGCTCGCGTAACGATGCCCAACTCTGTGATGAGTAACGGTATCATGCACACCATTGACCAGGTGCTTGTGCCTCCCTTGCTGGATCCGAGACCAGAATATTTAGAGGTGAGACTCATCGGAATTTTCAACGTAAAGATTGAAGCTCAGTGCCACCGTCGTTTTGCCTTTTTCCTTTTCAGTCCCTTTTCCTATGGTGTCTTCCATAGTCCGTCATTTTGTGACCTGACTTAACGAAATGAATTAGTCGTCCCCCTTGCCACTTTTTGAGTTAAGGAACCCTCAAAAACCCTCAACGTTTGTCCCCCATGTAGAGTTATTGCCATCAGGATGGCATACTGAGTGGTACGTGAAAGTAAAGAACTCAGTTTGCTCTTTCTAATGCAAACTAAAACGAACTTACTGAAAATCTGGCCTTATGACCCATTTCGTAAGATCCATTTATGAATTGGTTTCAAATCACTTAAGTAAGCATTTCCAACATCTGATGTTCTCTCAGATGTACACACACAAAAAAAAGTAGAACAGTCAAAAAGAGGGTGACGGCACTTCATGTAAGTTCCAGACAAGACTTTCCAATCACCCCTCAATGTTTCTACCCCCTAGGAGCTACCCCTGGAGCTGGTAGCCCCAAACAGCACGTACAGTATCTTCATGAGCCTGATGACCAGCTCGGGCCTCCTGGATACCTTCAGCGTCGGCATCTCCCTACCAGTCACCATCTTCATGCCCACCAATGAAGCCTTCCTGGAGCTCTACCCGGGCAAGCTGGGGGAGCTGCGGGACCCGAATAACATCGTCAAGACAAAGGAGTACCTATCATACCACATCGTACCGCACAGGACGGTGAGTTTCATGCCAACGGATACTCTTACGCTACAAGTTGTTGGAGGGGGAATTAACCACTTTGCTCTGGGGGGACATCGTGTAAACGTGATCTGGCTGCTGAATTAAAACATCAAGTGCACCTTGACTTACCTCCAGCCAACATTGGGATATGTCAATCCTCCATTAGTTTCGTGTACGCGAAGTCTGAGAAGTCTGCAGAGCTGGACTGAGTGAAAATTTTTGGCCAAAGAGAATGCTGGTCTGTTAGTGGTTAAACTCCAAATTCCATCTGTGATCCAGGCAAAAGTGGTTGGAACAGGTTGAAATAAGCACACCTTCCCCAGGTCCCCTACTCTGCCGACCAGCGCCGTCATCTTCAACTGGCTCAGCGCGGACTTCGCAATAAGAAACAATTTTGAGAGGGGACGGGGGGGGGGCTAAGCAGTTATTGACCAGGATTGCTCCTCTTGCCCAACCAACTAGATATATCCATTTTGAAAAAAGCTTTTACATTTCTCGAAAGTTTCTGATAATTTAATGAACCCTTTGGTTAAATTCTGAAAGCTGAAAGCACAGATTTCAAAATTGAAAAAAATCACTTCCTTAATCCTCCTGTTGGTGTAATAAGACAAGTTGGACCGCGGTAATGCTATGATTGAAATTTTGTTTTTCCTTTGACCTCTGAACTCTTACTTTCCAATGGAAAAGGTCAAACAACACAGACTGCTTGATAAACAATACTCTACCATTTGGCCTGAGTTCATGCATGGGGTCATATTTGTGGACATCGTTTTGGATCCTGCTTTATTTAACGGCAGTTATAAATTGCATTTATTTTCTAGATTCGCACCACGCAGTTTGCTAATCACATGCTCCAGGTCACAACCCTGCAAGGCTCCAACATAAGCATTGAATGCCACAGATACCAGGTCAGTGAGTTTCCCAACATGCTGAGGTTTATGGGAGTGAGGGACGCACCAGAACAGAGAACAGATAGCAGAATCTCTCATTGGTTATCCTGTTCGCTTGAGTGATTCTTATCCAACTTCAGACTGAGTGACTGTTCGCTTAAGTGATTCTTATCCAACTTCGGACTTAGTGACTGTTCGCTTGAGTGATTCTTATCCAACTTCGGACTGAGTGTGGACTGTTCGTATGAATGCAAATATGACATTGTATTCTAAAATCTCCCTCCCTGTTGAAAACTGTAAACTGATTCTGCTGTTTAATGAATAGATCCTTGTAGCTGGTACTCAGTAGTGGTCCCTTTAACGTGGCAGTGAACCATTGAAAAAATATGAAGCACTATACCATTTTGATGAAAAGCACTGCAGTCCATATCGGCCTTTACTTGAAAAGGATTATGCTAATTAAATGAGTACACCGTACATGATTTTCTGTGGTGCAAGTCTGAGTGTAAAAGACATGTATGAGTACATGACAAATATTTTCGTTTCTTTTCATTTGTCACCATTCTTGGTGTTCAAAACTGTCTACGGCTGTTGCCGGAGTCATTTTCATGAATGTTATTGCCGTGGTCATTGTTATGATTGCCTACGATATCGTATTACCTATTGGCCAGGGTTTTTCTGTGAATCAAGACTCAAAGATCATTGACACGGAGACATCCTTTCGTGGCGGCATGTACTACGGCTTGGACATGGTCCTTGAACCCCCCAGCATTGGTGGTCGCTGTGACATCATCACTAACCACACATTCTCAGTGAGTCCCATTTGTTTCCAAATTTGTCCCCAACATGTGGTTTGGAGAAATGTGAGCAGATCCCATGAAATTTAGCTGCGTGAAGTGTACAATTTTTTTCACTAACTGTGTTTAAAACCTGCATTAGAAAGAGTTTAGACAACTCGCACACTGTAAGCAGTAAATACAGACCGCACGTGGGCGGAGAGAGATGATGGTGGTTTTGAATTTCTACTGTGCTACATTTCTTAAATGGCATCTCGAGAAGAAGCGCTTGTGGCTTGACTCATTTCGCCATTTTGGGTCACAAAAGTAGATTGGAAATTACACCTTTTGTTTACAACCTTTAATTATGTGCTGCAGCTTAATAACCGAGGGGTACTGCTTTGAGCTTTTTTCTGCTAAGAAAAAAATTAGCAGTGATCATTCACAGGTAATGTACCGCACATGGTTTTCGGCTTTGCTATCTGGTTTGGGCCAGACCCCAAGTATTAGCCTATTCGCGCAGAAAACTTCCTCAGCTGTGTAGGCAGTTGGGAAAGGTCCTTTCCCAACCCCAAACCCAGCCGTAAACTTTCAAGGAGCCAACTCTAACGCACTGACCGTGCTGGATCTGTGTCACTGGACACGGTGTGATATTCGTTCATGGTAACTTCAGCAAGAATTCAATACCCAAGTGGTTTTGGTTTTTTTTGTTTTTTTTCCGGCCTCTCACAGACTGACTGCTATTCCTGCAGGAGAACCATCCCATGCCCCTTGGGATCCATACCCATCGTAAGTACACCGATGTAAGGTCACTCGGATTCCTCTGAGAATTGTAAGCAGTGCTACAAGTCGCCTACTCCCCGGAGTCAAGCGCTGGGTGTGCTGGCCCCACATAAAACCCAGGCTTCATCGGCCAGGTTCCCTGAGCATAGCAGACCTTAAAGCAGTGATATTGTCGAGTCCCTTCCCACGCGCTGATGTGCAGATATGAAACACTGTGTGCTCATGGTGGCCCCCAGTAATGGTGGACGTTTTCTACCAACTAATGTTCAAGAAGAGTTCCAGGCCCAGTTATTTTGTACAACAGCCGACAAAGATCTTCTGCAGTTACCAGCAGCCTCCCTGACATACAGTGATTGTTAGCTCGAATTTATCTAAAAATTAGGAGAGATCAAGCTGGGTATTATCAAAGAACTTGGACTCTAACTTGATACTGTGTATGGAAGTTTGCATTAAACCTCTCTCCTGCAATAACTATTCTCCAGCATTTTCACAACTTTACAAAATTAATTGATGCCCAAAGAACAAAGCATTTTGAATTATTTGTGCGATGAAACTAGTCCTAACCTTGCCTCCAGTGGTCCCTTTGAAGAGGAATTTGACTGAGGAAAAGAGCAAACTCAGCTACATCTGTTCTCTGTTTGTGCGTCATGCCTCTATTTGACAGAGCGAGAACATCGCGGACTGCTTCTACTCTGTGGGCTGGTACAACTACCAGCGGGGCTGCCTGCGTCACTGCCTCAAGCAGGAGATTCAGCCGCATTGCTGTAGCAGGCATTACGGCGCTGACTGCAGAGGTAAAGAAGACTGACTTCGGAGAGGTGTGGGGAATTATCGGAAGCGGAACAAGCGGAAAAAGGCGAAACAGGATATCGGTCTATGAGTTGGAAATCATTTGACAACACAAATTACTAGACGGGGGCCTAAAATGCTCCATCTTGCATGCACAGACAGGCTAGATAGTTTCAAATCCGGCTGCTGGCCACTAGTTGTGGCCATTTCCATGCCACTTTTTTCTCTCTCCTCTCAGAAAGAAAAACAGGGTACTGGCATTAGTTTGGAAGCAGTCTACGACAAATCACATCCTATCCAGGAGAAAATAGAAATATTTTCAAGTCGTTTCATGCCAAGCAAACCAGAGACAAGCACCAGCCTGATGACCTAGATTAGCTTGTGACAGATTTTATGTACACGGAAAAGTTACATGATCGGCGCCCCAAACATTACATGATTGCTAGCTACATTTCTTTCTATTTTTCCCAGCAAGAAAAGAGCAAATCTTGTTGATGCCCATTTCAAGTTTTTGGAGCAAATTCAAGGATCAAATTTTGGCGACAGCTCTTTTTGCTCTCTTCCCGTCAGAGTGTCCCGGCGGCAAGCGGAATCCCTGCAGCTGGCATGGCGAGTGCAGCCAGGGCATCGAGGGCACCGGCCAGTGCGTCTGTGAGGAGGGCTTCACAGGAGTGGCCTGTGAGCGGTGCCTACCGGACCGTTACGGACCGAACTGTGAAGGTGAGAAATAAAGTCAGAGGCTCAAAAGTGCACCTATCAACAAGTTCAACAAAATTCCCTCAAGATCTTTACGTCATACCAGATTGTACAGTGCCGGAAAAAAATTCATCTGATTGGTCGTTGATGATCATGTATCGTTGAATTATTTGGTCCAGCAACAGACACTGTTGCATCACAAAAATAAAATGGTGTGTTCCAGGTCCACAAGAAATGTACAAATTCATAGTGGATGCGGAGACTTATGCTGTTGATGGAAGGATGTTTTGAAAGATTTATTTGGTTGTAAATTAAAAACAAATAAAGTTTCACTTTCATGCAATAAACAAAGCCATTTTGTTTGATGACGCAGTTAAGTTTCCTTCTCATCTGTCGCCTCTTGAAATTTTCCTTGCTGTTGCACTCATAAATGTTCATTATTTTCGTAATATTAACCGTCAACATTCCATCCACAATTTTTCTTATTCAAATTTTAAAAGGAAAACAGTCTTAGTAGTTTGCTGTGGGCACCATAAGCATTTTCAAACTACTAACCTTAGCAGCTCTCGATTCTCCAATTCCAACTAATTTTCATAACCAAGGAGCCTTTGGCAGATGATTCAAAATGTATACCTCTAAGATATCATTTCATCTTGTAACTTTCTCCAATGGCAGAGTGCCAGTGTACCAGCCATGGTCAGTGCGTTGACGGGCTCTCGGGCACTGGCCGTTGCTTCTGTGACATAGACTACATGGGCACCACCTGCGAGACGCGTTTGCTGGTTACACCAACGTGCAACCCGTATTGCCACATCAATGCCGTGTGTCGCCCAGGCAACATATGTGAATGCCGCCCCGAATACTACGGTGACGGTTACTCGTGTACAGGTACCTTCTTAGACAACAGACAGCATTGGTTCCATTATTTTACCTGATACACATGTTCTGTCTTCTGATTGGTTGAGATTATGTCACATGGCATACCCTAATTTTGCTTATTTATTCCTATCCTATTTTGTTTCCATTCCAAAAAGACTGTAACACAGCAGAAAAGTAATACCTAGAATCTCAGGACTACTGTTCCCATAGAAATTGGTCAAATGCAAACCTTTTGGGAGCAAACCTGAAAGATTTTAACCAAAACAGACAGCACCCTCCAATCTGTCTGTCCAACCTCAATTAGGCTGATGCATGTCGTGCATATTTTTCTTAATGGGATCACTTGCTGTAGTGTTCATTGCTCATGACATTTTTGTAGGAATGAAGATTGTCGGTCTTTGTTTGAGTGGATTTTCACACAATTTAAGATTGAGACAGGAGTGCTTTTTGTGTGAATTTTTGGTCGTTTTGATTGGGTGCCTCAAATTTGGCTGGAAGTGTGGTGAGTGAGATGTTGAAAACACTTGCTTTGTTGACACCAGTTATTGCAAAAAGTAGCCCCAGTGATCCATGAAGTATTTCTGTTTTGTTGTCTTTGCCTTGTGAAACTAAAATGCCCCCAAGCCCCAGGTCTTTCTAAAAAAATTTCCATTTTGTTGCCAAGGATGCCAACCTATAGCAGTCTGTCTCCTCCATCCATTCCAGAGATCAACCAGTGCAGCTTTGACAACGGCGGCTGTAGCATATATGCCGACTGCACCCAGGTGGGCACGGAGGTCACGTGTTATTGCCACAACAATTACGAAGGCGACGGTTACATCTGCCAACCCGTGGACCCGTGCATGATGAACAACGGCGGCTGCCACCCGGATGCAATCTGCCAGCTGACCGGTCCGGTGAGACAACTATTCATTGCTGTGTGGGTCAAGCAAATTGACCAAGTGTGGGAAGCATTTGAGCTCCAAGTTTGCCGGCATATCCCTTTTTTTTTCTAAAAATAATTTGACCTTGCTTAACCTTAATGGGTTCAACGGGACATTTCTCACACCTCAGATAAATTGTCAGTTTTGGCTTCCAGCTCCAGCGTCTGAGATTATCGTTATTAAATTTAGAGATCTTGGATTCAATTTGGGTTCCTTCTCTACACCAAAAGAAATCACATCCTATCAAAGCCAAACTTAAGAATCTTCTCACTTGATTCAAGTATCCATGATTTACTGGCTGGAGTCAAAGTTGAAGTTGAGGTGGATGTGACCCGAAGCACCAGACAGTCAGTACCAACACCAGATGCACCATTTGTTTGTCATATTCTGTAACATATAAATCCTGCTTTGTTTGTATCCATAGAATTCCCGATCCTGTGCCTGCTACCCCCCTCTGCAGGGCGATGGAATATCCTTCTGCACAGCACCACCAGAGAGACCCCCACTGGCCTGTTCCATTGACAACGGAGGGTGTCACGAGAATGCCCTATGTTTTGATGACTCGGACAATCCTGGTAAGCGGGGCACACTCTTCTGCTGATTCGTCGTAAGAATTTTTTTCAACAAGGCCAGCATCATTTGATGAATGCGCTTCCCTTTGAGGGTGCAGCTAATGTGAAAGGGATGAACCCTCCTAGGAAGCACAGAATGAAGCAAGGACACCAGCTCTGGAGGTGTTGCTGTACCAGTGTTAAGCCAAGCAAAGCCAGGCCCTTTGGGCTTGTAATCTTCTTTTTGTTAACCCAGATCTACCTTACAGTGGAGGTGCTACCAATTAATAGATGCAGGCCTCTGACGTGTGTGGCCAGATTCAAGTCGCACCCACCTCAGGTGAACCTGTGGTTGTTTTTCTGTTCCATTCGGTGTGTGGGCGACATGCACACTGTCCAAGTCGGTGGGAAAAGTGGCCCAGGACAGAGAAGTGGCTGGTAATGGAGAGCCTGTCATTCAAAGCAAGAGATTCAAACAAGTTCATAGGCCTCCGTTTTTCCCAACCATGGCCTGGCTGTATCAACGGCAAACCCTGGCCACTGGTTCCTGTTTGCTCCGGGGGATTGACACACTTTTTCTTCATCTCATGTTGCAGTGGGACCGTCGTCAGACTCTGCCAGGATGGGCTCCCGCACCCCACCACCCCGTGCCTCCCAACGGCCACGTCCCACCCCATCCTCCTTCGGGAGGCCCCGGCTGGACAACGGAGGCCTGTCACCCAAGGCGGGCCAAGGGGTGATCTGCAAGTGCAAGGAGGGCTACGTGGGCACGGGTGTGCTGTGCAACGGCAACGCCTTCGAAACACTGGGCAGCATGAAGAACCTGTCCATCTACTACCGCGTGAGTACGGCCTCGGAGCATTTTGTCATCCAGTGATCCTCTTCCATGGTGGGTTACTTCCACTGTTGTACCTGAGCCCTTCCCAAGTTGCTGCTAGTCCATCACAAGTCGTAAGCCAAGTCACAGGCGATTTGACCAAAGTGTGGCAAAAGCATTCCATTGTCACTGTTCACCCTGCTACTCGCTACTGGTCTTGAGACAGGATTTGTGATGAATTTGACAACTCTACCAGTAGCAATTTTACAAGAACATAGTCCTTGTCTGAATTATATAGCTTGGCCCAGGGGCGTACGCTCAGTAAGGCAGTGCGCACACTTGTATGGGTCACACCCGCATACCTTCACTGTTCAACCCTCTGAATGGACGATACAGAGACGACCACCCCATATCCTGCACAGTCCAGATGGCAATGTGGTTAAGGACTTGCTGTACATAGACCCCGAAATTGAATGACCCACGTTTACCTTTTTTCACTTTTGCTTTTCAGGCCATCTCTGGTTATGCAAAGATGTACCCCGAGGGGCTCCAGCTGGTGGACACTCTGAAGAGCGAGACTTCAATTTTGACCCTCTTTGTCCCCATCAATACCGCCAAATTGGCTAACACGGTACATATGCATGAGAGCTATTGCTCATACCCTCAGGGAACACCTCACTGATCTGCTAGGATTTTGTTCTGTAATCCTGCCGCGGAAAAGTTGTCATCTCTCAAAGGGTCTACATCATTGGTTGCGATAAAAGAGAATTTCCAGTGGAACCTCAAACAGTTGCTGAAAGATTGACTGCCATAGTTCTTAGATAACACTTTGCAAATTTTGGCAACTTTGTTAACAAGCCTTGATTGTTAAAAACAACAGAATTTTATTTAGAAACAGTTTTTCCAGTGATGTTACCACAACATGGCACCCCATTGGTTCCTTTTATACTCATTTGGTTACTGAACACTGAGAAGTTTATCACTTCTTTTTCACGAGACTGATTATTCTCCCAATCGGTTGTGATTATTTTCCTCAGACGTTCACCCCTAACCTGATCGGGAACCACATCGTGAGTGGTCAGGCATACCATAAGGACCACTTAGTGAAGGGAGCGACCATGACTGCTTGGTCCAAGGGCAGACTGACGGCGGAAGTCTCCACCGATAAGGTGAGTCTTGTACAAAACCTCCAAAGGGAAACCATGTCACTGATAGTCAATCTAAATGACAACAACATCCGATGATGGTATCACTGTTCTTTGCGAAAGACACATTAAAAAGGCTGAAAGTGCCTTAAGTTCCACATTCCTGTGGTATAGCCCTGCAGAGAGATGAAACGCTTTGATATTTCAGGATATGTTGAGGATGTAGCGTCATATTTGCATCAGGATGCCTTCCTGGGGTACTGTTTCAAGACAGGACATCTTCCCAGGATGCAGTATGAGACTTGTTTTTGTTGACAGAAATCTCTCTGAGATGTATCGTGGAAAGACGTTTTGCCGAGACTGGATATTAATACGAATAGAAGTTTTGTATTCAAGTCCATTACAAGTCCTTTCTCAAGCCCCTCCAAAAGTGCAGTCTCAAGTCCCTTCACAAGGCCAGTTATAAGTAACAGGGTGAAGGAATGCTTTTGCCACAGCTCATTTGAATAGCCTGTGAAATGGCTTAAGACTGAATGACGTGTGATGGACTTACAGGGACTTGTAATGGACTCGAATACAACACTGACAGGTCGACATCTTTCTTTGACGAGATTTCAGGGAAAGATGTCTCTCTTTACAATATGGAAACGTAAATGATACACTTTAACGTCCTGTAATAATCCCTGAAGTTATTCAGCCTAACAACTCCGACAGAATTGGAAGAAAGAAAACAATGAGTCGCTGGCTACTCAAGTCCACTGAAGTTGGTCCTGCCGAATTTAACGTCTTACTGCATGTGTACCCATCTTTACAGAAAGTCATGCTAATCAACAAGGTACCTGTCAAGGTTTTTGACATTCCGATGAGCAACGGTGTGCTGCATATCGTATCAGAGCCCATCACTGTGGACACGCCCATATGGAACCCCGTAAGTCCAACCTTTTTTTTTTTACACCGCACCTCACACACCTGATGGTCCTGTTTCTCTTCCCTTACTCTGCAGTGTGGGGCACTGAGTTATGGGAAGACTCAGTTGTGGTGCAGTGAGTCCTTTTCGGAGGGGAGTGTTACCTGTAGCCAGATTAGGCTGCAGTGGTTTCAATTAGAAATATTCACAGTACAGTCCCTCACCCCGCCCCATGTTAATCATAAGAAAGGTGTATTTCTGGCTCATGAGTGGCTTTGCCTGCTGCTATGCACTCAAGATGGCCG